TTCTGCCTGTGGTTTGGTGCAGTGGCGGCCACCAGGACTGTAAATCATCTGCCACTCTTCAATGTTTCTAACCACAGTCAGGGCACGTATTGTTTCAGCGCTGTAGTGATGGCAAACTTTTTGATGGACAGATACCTAACACTTTCTGAAAACTGCCTCCCTTTTGAGTGTCTCAGGTTAGGATCTCTAAACCAATAACTGATTCATACACATTGAGTAATTTTTAAATTTTTAAATTGTATCAGATTTAAAATCTTTATTTAAGTCACATTAAAAGACATTGAGAAGAAGACCAAGTCACCAGCTCTCTTTTATATCCTCTGGTTTCACCAACTGTGGCTGGAGGTCTGTGGCATCCCACAAGTGCTGTTTTACCACTTACATTACTCTCCTCTCACCAATAAAAGCTGAGTCAGCCTTGATGTTCTGGTCTTAATTGTTACAGCACGTTGTGTCCCACAAGACAGAATATGGCACAACTGGTACATAATTAAAAGAAAAACACCGGGACACTTGAAGGACAGGTTGATACAATAAAATGGAAAGCAGGCAAGTGAGCCACATCTGCTCCTCACAACTGGACTCTTTGATTAGCAATTAATATATACAATAGGTCTGGAATAGAGTTTGAATAAACAGATACTTAAACAAAACTCCATCAAAAGGTGCAAGGCACAAATTTAGTCTGCCTCACCAATGGGGACATGGCTGCAACACATCACAAGGCACCTGATCTTTCCAATGCTTTCTTTTCAATGTTTTCCATGTCACAAGTTTCAAATAAATCCCTGAAATGGGATGAAAAGTTAAATTATCAGAATTGTTTGCTAACTGAAAACAGAAAACGATGAATTTGGTTCAGGTTAATTCAATGTTTTGATTTCAGTTCCTCTTTTTTTCCTTTCCTCCATTTGATTTCTAAGTTTAAGTTCCTGAGCACAAGGAAAAAAATTTTCACGATGAGGGTGGTGAAACACGGGAATGAGTCGCCCAGGGAGGTGGTAGATGTCCCATCCTTGGAAACATTCAAGGCCAGGCTGGATGGGGCTCTGAGCAACCTGATCTAGTTGTAGATGTCCCTGCCAGTTGCAGGGGGGATGGACTAGATGACCTTTAATGGCCCCTTCCATCCCAAAGCATTCTATGATTCTATGATTAGTACATGGCAGCTTCCTAGAGCTGGCAGAGCCAAAGATACTGGAGAGAAGCTCTGATTACAGGGTGTTGCAGCAGCTGGATGTACCATCTAGATAGACAAGGTGATGGGTTGCTTGTCCTAAGGACCTCTTGGATGTGGAGGTCATTAAGCACTGGTGGCTCACGTGGTGTGGGTGCAGGATGCACTGTGAGTCCCCACCTTTTGTGTGGGAGCCCCTCACCCGCCAACAAAGCCCCCAACAACCGTCTTCCAGCCTACAGGATCATTAACACTGTCATCTTGCGCTCCCTGCGGCCGAGCCACTGACACGTGTGTGTGTGTGTGTGTGCCCTTGCAGGTAAGCTGGACATAACCCCGGATGACCCTCGGTGGATCGGTGCATGGTGGGGAGGCTTCCTCCTGTGTGGTGCCTTACTCTTCTTCTCGTCCCTGCCGATGTTCGGGTTCCCGCAGTCCTTGCCCCCACGGCCGGAGCACACCGGGGAGAGCGAGCAGGCCATGCTTCCCGAGAGGGACTACGAGAGACCCAAGCCGAGCAACGGGGTCCTGCGGCATGCGCTGGATGGGGAGAACAGCACGACCTGCTTCCAGCAGCTGCGAGGTGAGACACTGGTTCTTGTCACGTTTTCTGTGAGAGTCAGTAACAGGTTAACAGCTGGTTGGATTTATAATTGGTCTCTGATTTGGGCTATCTACCTCTACCCCCAAAAAAATCCCAAAATCCTCAGTATCCTGAAATTTCAGTCCCTAGCTTCTAATTATCTCTGGCATTGTCCTCATTTTAAAGAGAGACTTTGTTCCACTTGAAAGGTTTGGGTTTTTTTAAAACTACAAAGCTTCAGAAATGCACGATAGTCCTGTGGAGTTGTTAAAAAAATGAAGGGGAACACAGTTGCCAAAGCAATTTGTGAACTTCTCTCCAGTCTACTGTCCTGCTCCTCTCTGCATCCCGAAAGAGTGAGCCAGCAAGGGCGGTTAAAAGAAACTGGGAGCTCCTGGCATCTGAGCTGCAGCTTAGTGCAATCCCAGATACAAAGCAATAAGTGCTGGGCACCACCACAGCTCTTAAACTGGGATGGGGAAGAGGTAGATACCAACCCAGAACAGCAGCAAAGTGGCAGGGTAGAGCATGACTTGTAGCAAATTAGAGTAGAAAACCCCACGTCGTGTCCTGCAGTGATGGAAATGGACCTGGCTCTAATTAAGGTCATCTAAGGATCCAGTGTTTTGTGGGAGAGTGTGGGTAGATATCCTTTCTGTAAGGCTGCACTGGAAAATCCTTCATCTAGGAGGGTGTTTCTGTAGCACTGGTGGTTGCTTCCCACTCTCTGTCACTGTGGCAGAGTGGGTTTCATTACTGCCTAATGCATTTTGATAAATGAGGACAAAACCACTTACTCCCTGTGCAGTCTCCTTAATTAGGAGTTGAATGAGGTGCAGGTGGGAAGGAAAAAGAGACTTTGGGGAAAAAAGTGTTTTCTTAAATATAAAAGTGCCTTGAATAGTTGATGTGGTTGTTCATTAAGGGGAGGTCAAAGATGTGAAATTTTGACTTGATGAGAAAATTCAAAAGAAAGGTAAAGGGATAAATTGTTTGAAAATTTGTCAGTAAAATTAATTTCTTCATCCTTTCATCCTTGTTACAAGGATTTTCTTAGGTTTGAGGAATGGGCTTTTCCCATGGTATGTCCATCTGGATAATTCTGTGGCTTTTGTTGTGGACTCTTCAGAGCGCCTGCTGCTGGCCACTGAGTTTTTGGAATGGGCACTGGAAATTTTTGCAGGTTTTCATATAGGGAAGCGAAAGAATACGATATGTCCCTGCTGCACGGAGGGGCAGCAGTTCTGCCTGAGGATGGTGCTGAGCAAGCTGAGTTTCTTGCCTACCGGGAGGCCATGGGAGGCTTGCTAGAGCATCTGTTGCTCATTGAAGTAGAGAAATTAAACTGCCACATCCATAAGCTTCAAAGTATTGATTACATCAGGAGGCACCACAGTCTTCCACATTAGCCTTCTCATTGCAGGTAACCCCATTTCGAATCAGGCGGTATTCCAGAAGTCTCTTTGTAGATGGACTTTGAGATACAATTTACATCACATCAAATAAGACAGGGAATGACCTTTTTAGTTATGCCTTTGAGGCTGTCATAGACAACACGGTGTCGGTAGCTGACATCTCCTTTCAAGTCCCTTGCCACTATTGTCACAGTCGGAACGTGGTCAAGAGTCATGTTTGCTAAAGTGCCCGCCTGGAGGAGATGTTCAGACACGTACCACAAGGGAAGGCAAACGTGCCTCGCTCATTCCTGATGAGCAGTGTTTAAGGTGATGGGTTGAATCTTGCTGTGTGTATACATTATTTTGCCAGCAGCTGAAATATATATATGCATTCCTATGTGGTGGGATGTAGTATCCTTAGTCTGTTTGTTGATTGTATAAGGTTTCCTTTGGGGAAAGTTAGACTGTTTAGCCTTTTTCCTAGGATAAAAAGGACTGGTAATTCTATACAGAGGTTAAAAAATATATATGTGCATGCATAGTCACGTCTTTTGTCCTATCACGGGCTTTGGGGTTTGCATGTATTTGTGAAGATGAATGGCAGAAGATGTACCTGTGCGTGGGGTTGTGGGTGGAAATGCTCATCGGGGTTTGTGTGGCCATAACTCGCACTCCTTTTTAACAAGTGTTGTCTCTGCAGCTTGGTCCTGGGCAGGTGTGTGCTGGGCATAAGTCCGTTTCTGCATGGAGGTGTGGATTGTCCATCTCTTGTGCGCAGTGTGGGGAGGAAGGGTTGTTTCTCTGGACTGATTGCGTGAACACACTGTGTATCAACAGTGCATCCTTAGAGGCTGAACTGACGCTCCTTTTTGGCTATTGAAAGGTTTTGATTGTTTTTTATTTTATTTTATTTTTTTCAAGCCTTGCAGTGACTGTTGCAAGTGAGTGGACTTGGCAGGAGAGGAAGCAGGGTGGTGTCAGTTGGAGACATGCTCCCAGCTGGGTCACATCTGTCAGCTAGTGACGTGGCATGGCTGGCACGCGGGAGGATGCTCGAGACGCTACAAGATCTGCTGAAAGACAGTGAGACGCAGGGCTGGGTGTCTCCTTGCTTGTCTCTAGCCTTAGCATACAGAAAAGCTAGGACTAATATGAAAAGAACCTACTCAAAGTGTCAAAAAGTCTTTTACATCTCTATTAAGGTCTAAACAGGAGGGAGGGCTCAGCTTTTGGGAAGCCACGGCATCTCTTCCCGTGGGTTATTTTCATGCTTGGAAAAGAAGCATCCTTAAGAGGAGCTTCAAACTTGAAACAAAAGCCATGCTTTTGAACAGCACAAGGTGAAGAGGCAATCAAAGGCAGCAGAGGTGGCGGGCAGCTGCCACAGCAGCTCTGCACAGGGGCATGGTGGCTCAGGCAAGAAAGCTTTGGGACAGTCCTGGGAGGTGCTTACCATTGCTAAACTGGCATATGAATGCTGCATTGCTTTACCTAATTAGTATTTCGGTTAAGCAACACAAATCCATTTGGGAGCACAGGGAAGTGAAGGATTAATAGCAGGGAGAGGATGGATAAATGCTGCCATCGCTCTTTGCTCTCGGCTGGCAGGCTGGCAGGCTTGTTCCAGCCCTGCGCTCTCCGTATGGTCTGCGAAAGTGCTTCAGGCGTGGGCTGCGGCAGCCCTTGCTGTCCTGGGGACAGCTTTGCTTCCCTACCTCTGGTCTGCTTTGGGGACCTCTCTGCTATTCCGGGCCAGAGATGATTCTTGTCTGTGTCAGGGCACCTGTGCCCTCTGCTTGTGTCTGTCCGGCATCTGCCCTCTCACTCGGTGTTAACATGCTGCTTCTAACCCACCACCTGCTCCAGGACCTGCTTGGAAATACTTTGTTAAAATAATTTATTTTTCCATACAGAAATGTCACTTCTACTGAATTGAGCGGCCAGTTCTGATGAAATTTGGTTTCAGAATGCTTCCTTGGCTTTATCTTTAATACCCCTGAAACATTCTGCTCTAAATGCATTTTGTTTTGCAATGGTTTAAACCAGAAATTCATTACATTCTGCCTGTCTGTCTGGTGAGAGAGATTAAAAACCTAAAAGGATTGAAATTGATATGGAATCCTTCAGGTTTGGAGAGAGAAGCTCATTCACAAGGAATTAAAAGAAAACTCACTGTGGAATTAAATGAATTTCAAAACTGCAAATTCCCTAGATTTGGAAACATTTTGATTTCTGTCCAGCTTCATTTCCAAGAGCGTAGGAGAGCTGGGATGTGCAGCTGACAGCTGTCTTGTCTTCTGTTCCGTTCCTTCCTGCTCTGTGTACCAATCTGCTGAATACCTGGAGAGGGAGCTGCTCTGAATCCTGGATTTCTCTCCCCAAAAGTGCTCTCTGGGAGCAGACACGTAGCACTGGACCAGAAGCTCCCAGTTGTGCAGGCGGGTCCTGGGCCGTGGAAAGCCTGTACTCCTTGGTGGGAGTTCATAGGATTGAGCGGGATTAATGGCTAACACGAGTAGTTCTAAACTCATGACTCTAATGAGTGGTAGTGACAACCTTTTGGAGGGGGCTCCATCTGTACCTTCATTCATGGCCAGAGCGATGAGCCTTTGGCCCAGATCTAGACGGGTACCAAGACCTTAATGCCTTTTTGGATTTGGGTCTTGGCTTCCTACCAACTTCTAAAAGGCTTGCTGAGAAATCCTAATCTTAGGTAAGGGGATGGCGGGGGGTCATAAAAGGCCCCACATCAGGTCCTGTCAGTCTCCGAGTTTCCTTTGGCTTGGTGCAGACTTTGTTGGTAGGTTATTCTTGGCTGTTTCAAAGCCAGCATCCTTGTTATCAGAAGCTTTGATTAATTCAGAAAGGCCTTCAGCCTGCACACTTCGGGGCAGAAGCTGAACAGCAGCTGAGGTCAGGCAGAGTGTGTCTGTCTCCGAAAAGATACTGTGCCTTGCCATGACCTCCACAACACGGGTGAGGGAGGTTTATGTTCCCCTCTGAAGTCAAGCAAAGGTGGTTGCTGGAGGCAAGATGATAGACTAGAAGAACCTGCTTTCCATGCATGAGAACGTTACTGTTGCTTCAAGCTTTATCTGTCAAGAAACCTCTTTGACATAGGTGTCATCATTTTCCTTCACATCCTTTGTGATACTAATTTTGCCAAGGGCACATGGACTTCGGCGTATTAAACTCACCTGAGATATCTTCAGCACCTCTTGCCTTACTCCATTTTGTCTTTTATGGGAGCTGCCTCTTTCCAGGAGGTATTTTCTTCTTGCTGCTTGCACTATTTTCTTCATCCCTTATTCCTCAAGCCAGGTGGAGACTGTGCCTTTTGTTTTCTATTCAGATCTGAGGCTTTGCTGCCTACGTTGCTATTAGAAAGTAATATTTTGGCTCAACGCTGCATTTCGCCTTTCCCTCACCACACTGTCCTAGGTGGACTGGGCTGTAAACCTCCATCTAATTTATTACTTTGCTTTCTGTGTTCCTCATCTTTACTGCAAATTGAAAACATGTCTCTGTAGGGTACTCCAACTGGAAAAAGGGGCCTTGGTGATTGTAATGTTCCAAACAATTCATTTCAAGCACCAACGTGATCATTATAGTTTGTCGTTTCTGGAGAGTAGTTAAACCTCATGTAATGAGGTTGCCAATTATCCCTGGTACTCCCTGATGTTTAGTGACAAATCAAAGGTACTTGGTGTACATAAGTGTGTTTGCTTGTCAAGTCCGTGGCCTGTCACCCACAGCTGGCCCCACAGCAGGAGACAGGGAGGATGCTTGATGCCTTGGCACGGGTGTTGCTTGGGGTGTTAAACGGTGGGAAGTCGAGGGATTGGCAGGGGCGTTGGAAAGCTTTGGGACATCCTTCTGGGTCCCTTCCAACCTATGGATGACCCTATGGCCAGCACTGCACGTGGATGGTCTGAAGAGTTGGGTTTTCAGTACTTCAGCAGTGAAAAGAGGCTGAGGTTTCTTGCTCTTCTCAGTGTATCTTGCCATGGTAATGAGAATCACTTTTCTGCTGTCGTTTCTGTAGCATATTGGGTGCATTGGGATAAGGATGTTAAATGAGTTGGTCATCCTATGCATGGGAGGGTGAGTCTTCCTGTGTTGTGTCTGATATAGCTTGTGGGTTCTCCAAGTAGGTTTCTGAGACTCTTCTGAATCCAAAAGGCCTTTCCCTTTTCCCATTTGGTGAATGGGCTTCAACCTCAGATTTATAGCTCCAAAGTGCTGCTACAAAGTGTTCAGCTAACCTTTGGGCCAACAAGGTGCAGGGTAACATTTATCATGACTTTTGCTGGGAACAGCTCCAGTGAAGAAGTGCCATGCTCAGCTGTTGTGTTCCCCAGGGCTTTACTGTCCCCCATCAGACATTTTCCATTCCCCCTTCGTACCCAACACCATATGCCAGGCAGCTGAAAGCACGTCACTCTAGTCTATTGAGAGATTTTTAAACTTCATTGCTGACTTTTAATCTTGTTCCCAGAGGTATTTCACCCCAAGAACTGAGACAGATAAGGCAGCAGCAGGTGTCAAATGTTTCATCTTAACGGGTGGCAGTAGCAAGATGAAAGGATATTCATTTCTATGGGGAGCCTCCTGTTATTTCCCTTAGAAAATGAAAGGGAACGAGCTGGCCCTGGCTGAGGAGATGGTGAAGGCTGCCAGGCATTGCCTGTGTTGCCTCTGCACTCTTTGCACTGGGTTTTGTGTTATACTCTCCAGCTGGTACAGAGCCCTGTTGCAGTAAACGGTGGTCAAACATGCAGTGGAGGACAGGATCTGTCCCAGAAAACTCACACTGGGACACACAAGGAGGAGAAGCAGTCATGAAGTGATGGGACTCGTAGCCCAACACTGTTAGGCAAGGCAGTCATGAGGGCCTCCTCTCTTGTGTGAGATGGTGCAATAACTGCAAAATTTTTGCTGTCCTTCTCTAAGTACGAAGGATGGATTTTGACTTTGGTAATGCATGATGGTTTGGTACCAGCCTTGCCAACTTAAGAAATAAATATCCGTGATCTTTAACTCCCTCCTCCAAAAGACAAGCTGTCACTGTTATTATCTGGTGGATAAAGTTAGAGATAGACCTTTGTGTCTTTGCATTTGAATTGGCACAAAGCTACTTCTCGAGGAATCCGTTAATCTTGAACAAACTGGACTCCAGAGGCACAACAGACATTAATATCTTAAATATGGCTTTCCAAGCTCAGCGCTGCCAATTCCACCTTTGTATTTTCCCTCCTTCTCCTGGCAGATGGGGAAATTCTGTAGGTGGCCATCAAAGAACTGAAGGAGTCAGCAGGTGGTTTCTGAGATCTATCTACGTCTGAATCCCCCCGCCCCCGTTCCTCCCTCTCAGTATTTTTTTTTCTCCTCCCCCCCACCCCGTTCTATTAAAAAATACTACGCCTCCTGCACCGTCATTATGTTCAGCAAATCCTCAGGAAGCAAGAATTTTGTACAGCATGAAAAAACATTTGTGATATAAAGAGACCAGAAACTCTGGAGTGGCCCCTTCCAAAAAAGGTTGGATCAAACCTAATTATAACCCTTTTTTTTTTTCCTTCCCAAAGAAAGAACCAAGGGGACCCAAGCAGAGCCTTGACAAAGAGCTGTGCATTTACTTGCTGAGGGCAGTGCAATTAGATTTTGCACCAAAAAAAGCCCTTAGGGAAAACAGAAGCCAACACCAGAGAAATCTGTCATCTGCCAGACCCTGGTACACCATAGGGCATGTGGGGGATGGATTTTCAAAATGCAAATAGGGGGCCATTGAGGCTTCACTGGACTTCAGCGAGGTAATTTTCAAACTTAATGATTTTCACATTTAATTCAGGGAGAAATTAGTCATCAGGTATTGAGACAAAGCAAGGCTCTCTTCTGTACTGGGACGCTCTCCTCTTCAAGCTGTGTTATCTCGGCAATAATTAAAATGTTCGCTGAAGGAGAAAATGTGCTATCTGATTCATTAGCCAGATTTCCCTTTGTAAGGTAACTCGTGTTTGCTTATCCGAAATAGAGATGGACTTGGAAAGAGGACTCTGGACGCTAATGATTTGGGAGGGAGGAGCAAGGGATCACGCAACTAAAGCAAGTGTGTGTGCGTCTTACACAGTGAATAGCTCAGCGTGTCCTCTTCCACCGTTGCAGTCACGAAGGCTGGTAGGGTCTGCATGGAAGGTGTTGCTTCGCTGGTAAAGCTCTGGTTTATGGGAACATGCATGCTAACATGCCTGTCCCAGGCATGAGGTCCTTTATGCCCATGGTGGCCGTGGCCCCAGGCTAAGCATGAGAATTTCAGCTTGCACCCAAATGTGCTGCAAGAATGTGTCCCTCAGCAAGCGAGCCAGTGTTCCGTGGGAATAAGAAAATGAAGTAAATCTGGATGGCAGGAGAAGGAAAGGCCAAGTGTGAGCTGGGTTAGCTTGTGTCTGAAAGCCTGCAAAAATTTGTGCAGTGCTGAGTACAGTACTCATGACAGCTGGCTCAGCATTGTTTGTGGGGAGCAGGTAGGGAAGGGAGAAGGAGAAAGAGTATACTGGACTTCAGCTGACTTCCCTATGGGGGAAACAAGCAATAGTGGAAAATTTCAAAATCATCTGTAAGATGTAAACATAATGACAGGTGACTTCTTTTTGCACCTTCCTGGTATCTGAATCTTTAGATGACACTGTTCTGGTGTTTCACTTTGTTCTGGTGTTGCCACATTTCAACCAGTTCATCTGTGCAGAATAGAAAATTACTCCTCATTTGAAGCGAGTTTGTCCTGCAGGAGAGCAGGAAGGCACCTCCAGCACCTCAAGCAGAGCCTACACAAAAACACCTCTCCCTTTTTCTTCTCTTCTAGTGATCCCCAAAGTAACTAAGCACTTGCTCTCCAATCCCGTCTTCACCTGTATCATCCTGGCGGCCTGCATGGAGATTGCGGTGGTGGCTGGCTTTGCCGCCTTCCTGGGAAAGTACCTGGAGCAGCAGTTCAACCTCACCACCTCATCTGCCAACCAGCTCCTGGGTGAGTAACCACAGGGGCCACCAAATCTCCAGGGTCCAAAGGCATTTAAAAGTGTTCAGCATGGATGGTAACCACAGCCAGGCTCACTGGTTAGGCTGCTCAGAAAGTGGCTTGCCCAATGTCTAGAAATGAGTCCATGAGTGGGAGGGCTGGGCTCCAGCTCTGCCTTGGCTTCAGAGCCCAGAGCAGACCTCCGGCATCCTTCCTCCTTGACTGCGCTCTCCACTGCAGCCCACTGCGATCACTTCCCCGGTAGCCAAGCCCGTTGTGTGAGAAGTGGTATGATACAGCCAGGATATGAAAGTCTGTGATGGCCCTGAAGTACGGCAGAAATCCCAGCCAAACTGGGCCATTCGTTTGCCCAAGACTGCAGTTGCTCGCTGAGCGACAGGGCTGCCCATTGAACTCCTTGTCTCATGGTTCAGCTATCCCAGAGTTATCCAGTCCATCTCCATTTGGGTTAGGAAGCCCAGTTTCTCCTGCTAGTCTCTCCTTTCCCCTTGGACTGGAAATGATAGGAATGCAATCAGCAGTTCAAACAGCCAAGCTAGTGCAGCTTGGTTGTATTTCAAATGCCCCTTCTCTCTGACCATACTATGCTGCCATGGTTTCCCAGATATATATATATTTCTCAACATTCATTCATTCCCTGTCAGGACACTGATGCACAGGCAGGATCTTCATTTGTTTTCTCCTACTGCTCATTCCTAAGCAGGCCCAGCAATTTGTTTATGACAGCCATTCTCTCGGCAGCACCCAATTAAGATATCTGTGAAGTGATCTTGGATGATCTGCAACCACAGCTTGCCAGATGGGCAGCTGGCAGTGATCTGTCAAAAACTGGGACATCATGAAATGGATGGATCTTAATATCAAAATATGGAGCTTGCAAGCTGCTGTCCTGACAGTTATTTATTTTCCCATTGAACTCATTGATATCTTCTGGTTTTGGCCTGGTTTTCCAAAAGAAACAATCCCCTGCAGTCAATCGTGCCTCCTCCAGCAACACAGGAACTCACTGGTGAATTTTAGTAGGGTTTGACAGAAGGGCAGAGGTCTCAAAGATGTTAGGGTCTTCCACCTTTCCTGAAAATTAAAGGCTTGGCAAAGGAAAGCAACTTCACTGTTGACCCACTGGGAGAAGGAAAACCACTACACTGTTTGATGGGGGATGCCTGGCCAGTCAGCATGTGTGTACAGCTGGATGGTCAGCAAAGAGGGAATCACCCGTGAGCCAGAGCACGTCCTGCCTCTGACCTAGCAGTGGGAAAGGAGACTTTGATACTTCCACGGTCCTCACAACAACTTGTTTAAGTTGAACAAAGTTCCTGCCAGATTTCTCAGGTGGCATTTGTGGAATCCAGAACTGCCAGGATTTCGATGCACTTCTAAGCTTAGCCTGGGTAGGTGAGGTCTGGAGTATAATTGGCAGCAAAGGGATAAAAGTGAACCCAGACAAGCTTAGTGTGATAATGCCTTTCTGTGCCTGGAAAGTGAGTCACTTCTGGCAGTGATTTTGTATCTCACAGTTTAAGAAGGTTCTTTAAGGGAGACTTCATATTTTCAAATGCAACTGTTGCCTAATGTCTGAAGATCAGACTGCTGTGAAGTATACCAAGCAGGGCTCATCCAAAGCCTCTAGACACCTCAAAAAATTCTTGACTATATTTGTCTGCTAACTGTTGCAGGAAGCGTTAGAGATGCTGCTGCTTAGGTTAGGGTGGGCCAGCCTCAGCAATGTTGGCATCTCCCTCCAACACGGACAAGAACGGGAAGAAGATCCCAGTTCTTCTGTGCAATGCAGCGTACCTGTTTGCATCCATTCCTCTTGTTTTGGGCAGCCCCAGCTTGGTGCTACTCCAGCAGTTGGCCGTTACAAGGTTTCCCCATGCTAGCACGCAGATCTCTCTGCTGGAAAGTAAAAAGCTGTAATGGTGTGGTCCACTGAGCCTCGCTCACACTTCTTGCTAACTGATTTTTCCTCTTGCAGGGATGACAGCAATCCCATGTGCATGTCTGGGCATATTCCTGGGTGGCCTCTTGGTGAAGAAGCTCAGCCTGTCTGCTCTGGGAGCCATCAGGATGGCCATGCTGGTGAACCTGGTGTCCACAGCTTGCTACGTGTCTTTCCTGTTCCTGGGATGTGACACAGGACCTGTGGCAGGGGTTACTGTTCCCTATGGAAACAAGTGAGTCCCCAGAGAGTTTCAGGGTCTCATGCAGCCTTACCAACATAAATGCCATGTTATTGTCCTCGATGGGCAGTCTTCAGGCAGTGCTGGCCCTTAAACAACCATACAGAGCAAGCATATAGAAGGCAATGTTGTATAGGGCTCTTACTGTGGGAGGTGTTCATGCCACTCATTGCTGTGAGAGTTGAGTACCTCTAGCTGACAACAGAGTTTTACTAAAGTCATTCAAACTGAATCACAAGGTGCCAGACCTGATTCTGCACCCATGGCCACCTACATAGCGTTGGGTCCACCACACCATCTGGTTTCTCCTGGCAGCGATGGATATGCCCTGCTTTGTATGTTTATTTAAGTGCCTGAGGGGAATTTGTAGAACCAGGTTTTAGATGCCTGGAAATTCAGATATGGTGAGGAGAGAGTATGTGTGGCTCCAGGCCCATTTTGATGGGAGAAATGAGGCATATGGTGCCCTGTAGCATTCACAGGACTTGGAGAGTTATTCTGTATTTTCTTTTCTGGTGCTCCTCAGTATGCAGTGGCAACTCTTTAGAAGGTAACAACTTCAGGCTCTCATCTCCTCACGGTTACTGTTCTAGAAAAATACAGAGCGATCTCTGTAGAGTCTCTTTGGGTTTCCTTGGGGCTTCTGGTTGGGGTAACAAGGCAGCCCAAGCCACTCATTAGATTCCTTGTTGCAGAGGGATAGTGGCCATGGCACTTCTGTCCCCAAGGAGAGGCTGTAGCCTGGGTTTCTTAAAGCTGGGACCCAGCTAGCCGGCTCACTGCTTTTTGTAATTTGTTTGCCTTAACTACCCCCTTCAAAGCCATCTTTGTGTGGCACCAACTGGAAAACCTGGCTGATCATTACACTCATGGCTAATATAATTTCTCTTTCTGTTTCTTTTACAGCTCAACTCCAACCTCATCTCTGGACCCATATTCCCCCTGCAATAACAACTGTGAATGCCAAACTGATTCCTTCACTCCAGTCTGTGGGGCAGACGGGGTCACATACTTATCTGCCTGCTTTGCTGGCTGCAGCAGCACGGTGAGTGGGCTTTCCGCGGGACCTCCCACCTGTAGGAACGATTCTGTGAGCACGAGCGTGTGAGGTTAGTGTGTACCTGGTAGAGTAGCTCATTTACAGCCAGCAGTGGTTACACCCTCAAAAGCTAACCTCATACCTCAGATGGGCCTGAGCTTTTCACTCTGTTGCATAAATGCCTGCTGACTCTGGCAGCAGGCTGCCAGGGCCACCCACAGAGCGGGATGGGATTTCCTATCATCACACTCCTCTGGTCTTTCTCCTCAGCACAGAAGCAGAGGAACACGAGAGGAGATCTGCACAGTTGTCCGCTGGCAGAACCCAGATCTTCCTCAAGAGCTCCCTAGCCTGGGCTGTGGGACCAGCTGCTCTTTTCTCCTGTAGCTCCCCATCTCCCTGCTTCTCCACCTGCCCATGTTCACCCTGCCCAGTCCTTTTATTCTTTTTCTTCTTGCTCTTTTCCCAAATCTGGATCCTAGACACATAGGACCAGATCCTGGTTTTATTCACCCTTGTTTAAGCTTTCCTTCCACTCCTCTTGCTTCTCTCTCTTTC